TAAAGCACACCACCTCCTCAGGAAGTATCCATAAAGCACACCACCTCCTCAGGAAGTATCCATAAAGCACACCACCAGCACTTCAGTGACAGTGTGGACGCAGGCGGGAATGACCGCTGACCTTACGCTGATATCACTCTCCAACCCAGGGCAGGGAAATGCCATAATAAATGTCATAAACATCGTCTGTAACAGCACAAAAGCACTAGCAATAAGTTTTTTTTTAAATTATTGGTAAAAGAAGCAATGTAATAATAGCAGAGCTATCTGCTGCCTTACTGAGAAATGCAAGGTGGGACACTTAAACAGCGCTCCCTTTCCAGTGGTCTCTGTGACCACCCCCCCCCCCCCCCCTTTGAAATGAGTGTTTCTCCTCAGAAACGTGCCACAGACACCTGTTGTTAGCTTGGTGGGCTCCTATTACGTAAAATTCACCCTAAACTAAGGTGCCCTGCACTAACAGGACTTGAGAAAGTGGGTCAGCCTGGCCCTCAGGGCAATAGTCTCACTTCGCTGCTGCAAAGTGGTGAATGGAGGGTCATGGGTGGAGGTGGGGTCTGCACGGGGCAGCCAGTGGATGCATGAAGAACCAAGTGCAGAGACCCTGTGGAGGCCCCTGCCGAGAGGCTGCGCCGGGACAGGATGAGTTTGTGATGCAAATAGGCCCCCTGGGGGCGCCTGCTGGCAGGAAGGTGGTGTCACGGTATAGCGAAAGCTATCATGAATACGAATGGGTTTAAGTAGTTTACCATCAGACAAAACCACAATGCTATTTGTGGGACAATGCATCTGCGGCCTAACAGGATGCCGTAAACAGCAAAGAAATAAGCAGTATTGTGCAATGCCCTGAGGGCAACACCGAATGATTCTTCAAGAAGGGAGTGCCTCGGATACCTGACTCATTGTTTCTTTGTGGTTTTCGTTAGATGGGAAATTCTTTGCTCTGCCGACTCCCTGAACTCTAATGCACTCTGGATGTGGACTTCAGGACGTAGGAGGTACTGGTGTCGCTGACAGAGCTCTGACAGGCCTCGGCTGTGGACATGGTGCACATTTGGTCTTCTGCAGCCGGTCAGGATCTCTTAGATGGCACTCACTTGAGTTGAACGTGAATGTAAACCGTCCTTACAGATTTGCTTCCGTCTCACAAATGTCTGTATGGTTTTTTTCTTGCAAACACATAGTCAGGCCATAGAGATCTGTGCCAGCCTGTCTTCTGGGCACGTCAGCTGTCACAGCTCATCGCCGAGCAGGAAAAGGCCCAACGTACAGAGCCTACACCACAGGATATCAGGGAGGATGATAACTGCTTACATACCACCATGTGCAACAGCCACACAGAGAGAAGGAAGGAGTCTTTTCCGAAGCAGCTCAGTAAAGGTAACGGGGTGACAGGGATTCCACAGGACAGTGATGGATATATATCGGGTTTACAGGGATGTAATGCGTAGGACAGACTTTCTAAGGATGCCGATCAGACATACTAACTCAAAAAGGGCCAATGGGGAACCTCAGCTCAACTTGGAGCTTGAAATGGAAGCAGGGCTGTTGTTAGACCCAAATCAAAGGGACACAAGCCCAGGCAAAATGTTGCCATGTCCCCTTATATTCAGAGGAAATAAACCAATAATTAAGGCACTACAGTTCCCATGATGCCCCACAGTAGCCCTCAGCTTCTTAAAGGGCACTTAAAGGGCTAGATAAGATTTTAACAACTCTGAGCTATTAGTTAAGTTCTCCCCAAACGAGCTTGATGGGCCGAATGGCCTCCTCTCGTTTGTAAATTTCTTATGTTCTTATGTTGTTACACTTGTAGACAGTTGGAACCCTGGCGTCCATGGAGATGGATGTATATAAACATTTAACAGGAGGTAAATCGCATAGCAAACAAGATAATGCTACTGCAGTGTTAAGGCTGGTTAGGTAGCCTAGCCTGTAAAAATGCAGATTAGGCCATTAAATCAAAGGCATTAGTTTAGTTACCATCAAGAGTATTACGTTGCATTAACAAATAAAAGGAGCATTGTTCAGCTAATAACTGCTCATTTTGCAAGACTGTTATTATTATGCCACAAAAATGACAGATACTTGGCACCACACATCTCTTTATTCGTGTTCCAAAATGCACTGGAGGCTTTATAGCCAGGAATACTAAAGGTCTTTGTGTTTATATGGCTGTGTGGCCTCGTTGTGCTTTAAGCGCTGGTGCCAACCTGTGATCAATGATGGTGTGGGGAAGGAAGTGAACAGAGTGGGTTGCCTGTGTATCTGTTTTTTTTATTCAAGAAAGTTTGTGTAATAAATGTCATGGAATCTATTTTTATTGCCATAGTCAATACCAGGGTAGCTATAAATAGGTTAATAAGGCCCTGCTTCTCCTGTAAAATATGCAGTAAAAATAGATTAATAAATTATGTGTTAAGCGAGTTGTTTACCAGATAGAAAATCTGACCTCAGTGCGACCTTCAGTCTGGAACGAAATGCCTAGATCCACGAGCCTGGGTCTATAGAGACATACTTGGGGCTTGGGTGGAATCTGGAGTTCTGATGGACAGGATGGACTGGGAATTGGCCAGCTCACCGAGTCACGGGCATGTAGGGAAACGTGCTTTATCTGTTCTGCAACATGGGTTATGTTCTGTTACAGGACATACTGCAGGAAGACAGGACTCAGGTCACTGTCAGCCTGGCTCTGCGTGAGTCAGCTCACACCTTTGCTCAGCCGCTGCTGACATCACGCTTGCTTAGCAATGGCTTGCAGCATGTGGCCTATTCTGACGAACCCGCTGAACTGCTCGGCAGTTCTGCCTGTTGCAGTAAGCATTAGCAACTGGAAAGCAAAGGAAAGGAAAAAACAGCCTTTTGAGCACTAACGGGAAAGTCTGAACCACTGTGCCCACATTCTGCTATCCTTGGCCTTTCCCCCTGCCAGCCCCCCCCCCCCCCATTAAACTCCACCCTCTCATCCCTTTATCCATGCAATCCTCATCTCTTCCAGAAAGTCAGTTTCCATTCCTCAGAAAATCCAGTGCAAGGCCACGTGGCTTTTTTGGAGCTGCTTATTCAGCGGGGATCCTTCTCATTGGACCTGCGGTGACGATGAGGGCGGAGTCTGGCTTGGGGGGGGGGATCCTTCTCATTGGACCTGCGGTGACGATGAGGGCGGAGTCTGGCTTGGGGGAGACACGGGCTGGGGCAGAGACAAAGACGCACACTGAAGAGAACTTCACATGTCTGCATGAAATGTGTTTGTGTTTGTTTTCTTTGCACTGGGCCCCTTCCACATCCACGGTAACATGGCAGTGAGAGATATTTAGGTTTGTCCTAAGAATAAAACATTCATGAGTCTGGAAGGTTGCCTTTGGCAATGTCTGTAGGGGACCTTCAGAAATCTGCAGAGCTATTTCCCGCAGAGCATGAGTCTCTATCCTGGAAGATTCATACACACCTGTTTTAGGTTAATAAATGTGTAGTTCACCCATACAGATGTTACAACTGGAATAAACACACCAAGAAGTTAATAACCTGTGATCATCATAACTACAGCAGTTTCACATTTTATTTGGCGTGGTTTATTCATCTTTCACAGTACTGATGCTCTTTCACAGTACTGAAAACTGCAGTCATGGTAATCATCTAATGTGTACATTTGAAGAAGCCACAGGAGGGTGCCATCAGGTGAAGCTGGCTTCTTCCGGATGAGTGTGAGGCCACGTGGCAGTGAGGCACTGCGACTCGGCCAAGCAGGGTACAGTCAGGTGAAGCTGGCTTCTTCCGGATGAGTGTGAGGCCACGTGGCAGTGAGGCACTGCGACTCGGGCCAAGCAGTGAGCCTGAATGGAAAGTCAGATTTATGACAGTTCCACAGAGGGATGAACATGCAGACAGTTCATACCCATCAGCACGGAGCAGAGACCGGCTGCCTCCTGTCGCCCACAATAGACAACCTGGCAAATTACTGCCAAGTTTTTCCCTAAACAAGACGGTTACAATTTTTCCTTCCCCCGCACACACGTTTGCGTTGCCATTTTCCGCAAGCTGACCAACAAATCCCTCTCCAACAGGAACTCAAAAACAGATGAAATCTCAAAAACACTTTTGGCAGAAGATGCTGATAATCGTGACGATATCAGTTGCCATATCTAACATTTCTCAGAAAATTTGCCCACAAAAGATAACTGCATGATTGAACCCCCCCCTCCCCCCCAAACACAGAAAAGGAAGCATCCGTCTTCATGATTTTCCATGTAAAAATGACACATTTAATAATGAGGAAAATGTCACAGGAAATATTATTATTACTGAGGCAGACTGGGATGCCTGTGCATTCAGGCCCAGTAAGCTGACTGGAGACAATGGTGCCAATCCTGCGCTGGGGGCTGAAGTCATACTGAGGCAATACTCTGCCTAGAGAAAAAAATCCATTTTCCCTCTGAAGAAAGTAAACATGAGGTGCATGAAAATGCGCATGTCAGCAGATCAGCATCAGCAAGCCGCACTGGAGTTTAGTTGCCGGTTCGAAGGTCTGCTTTCCACTTTTTTTGTGGACCTAACCAGTTGTGTGTGCTGTGTGAAGTCCAGTCAAGCAACCAGTCCCAGTCCCAACACAACAGACAGCCGGCACATCTCACACAAGCTAGGAGAACTACTTTATGAAGCTTTAGCGCTAATAGATTGCTGAAGACTTTGCACTCATTCAGGCGGGCCTCAGAAGGAGCTGGGTCTCATCACTGAGCATCGGTTTCAGACGTTTCTGGGAATCAGAAGTAATGCGAACGCGTGTCTCAGAGCTGACGAGGTCACACGCTCCGCAGAGCTCCGATAAGAACGCGGCAAGCGGCCAAAACACCTCTTCAACTGCACTCCTCCATTAGTATCTGGAGTATCTGGAAGAGGCCAGCAAAAGGCAGCATAACCGGGGACGTGGCGGGCAGCTCTGATGGAGGGCGACAGAGGAAGCTCTATCTTTCCAAAAGCTCTGGAGACGTATAAGAAAAGTTCCTGAAGACGCCCTGAGAGATGGAGGGAATTACAGGCTCCTCGATAGGCGTGAGTGAGGCCTCCTCTTGTGTAAAATCTGGGTCAAAGTTGCTCACATCCTCCGTGGTTTTCTGTACCGAGCAAAACACACCAAAGGTCAGGCAAACAACAACCGAAACATTCATGCATTTCTGACAAGAGATTCATTGAATTCTACAGAACATGACCCTGGGCATGACTCCATCCATCTTACACAATACTGCCTTATGTGTTACTCTATATCATTTATTGCCTCATATCTAGTTTACTGTCACCAATTCACCTAATCACACATTTTTGGTTTTTTATTTTAACCACATTTAGGGGGGGGGGGGGCATGGGGCCACCACACCGAACTGCTGCCTCCCATTGTTTTAAATCAAGCAGAGATTGAGAGAAAACAGGAACATAATCAGTATTTGCTCTTTAAAATGTAGATCCACCCAGTCTGTGTACCAGGGAGAGCACAAAGCCCACTTGTGTTATGGTTCTGGTTCAGGGAGGTTATGGGACTGTGTAAGCTTTTTGGAATCATGAAGATACCTGCTGACCCATAAATCTCGCCATGTGAATGTCCCCCAAATAAATCCAAATTTCATTTTTAATACTCTATATCATTTATTTACCTTGTAATATTTGTGTAGTTTATGATGTACTTTGCACAATGTATTTTGTAAATAGTGGCAGGCAACTTCCCTACAAGACATCTAAATTCAAAAAAGCCTGCATTTGCAGGACTGCACCGTATTCACATTAAATAAAAGTCAATTACTTTACCGTAAAATGAGAGAAGTGCAGCTTTAAAATGCATAATGAGCAGTTTTGTTATTGAGCGTTACAAAGTAACCCGTGACGATAATTCCACTATTTTTGGCAGTTACGAATAACATACCTAATTACCTTTTCAGATTAAATAATGCAATTAAAGGCAGTGACTTTAAACGGACTCGTTACTTGTTACTTTTATTTTGCGTGAAAATATTAATAGACAAATGTAGCCAATTCCCCTAATTTCCTGTTTATCTACCTAATGATTGCATGATGAATGGCTGATATTAGGTACAGTGACAGATACAATCTGACAGTTGTGTTGTGTTACACTGTCACAGCAGCAGCGCTAAAACAATATAACTGCCCAGACATGAACAGGCACAATATCTCCGTGATGCTTTAAAATCCATCAGCAATGCATCTGAGGTCATTTGTTCAAACATTAACATATGTTATATTTTAAATGTTAATAGACCTAAATGGAACGCGATCATTTATCGATGTCCTGATCTTAAAACAACCTGCTGTTGACGTATGTGTGCTGTCTAGGTTAATAAAAGAACTGAAGTAATGTAAAACTTACTGTAAAAGTTAATGAAAAAGTTACTTTCCCTAGTGACTAAATAGTTTTATATGGAGTAATTGGTAAAGTAATTGAATTACTCTGGAACAAAATAACTAGTAACTGTAACCAATGGCTAATTTTCAGTAACTTGCACAACACTTATAAGATAAGATTATAATGAGTGATGTTATTTTATGCCATCATGCAACACAGTGATTGGCTGCCCATTATAACTCTACCCACTGTAGGTCTCGCCCCAACATTTCATCCAATGGTAAGCAGATATCAGACTCACAATCCGGGGCTTGAATGGAGGCTCGAGCTCCCTTCGGTTCAGCAGCTCCCAGTCGATGGAGCGGAAGAAGATGTGCTTGGCGATGGCGCTCTCCCCTCCGCTGGCCGACACAGAGCCCAGCCGCTGGTCAGGGTTTTTGGTCAGGAGCTGCGGGGACGAGGAGAAGGACTCAAATACCCCCAGAACATTCAAAACACAGGAAACGATCCGTCCGAAAACCCACATCTGTCTTCTCATAGAAAGGTTCACATTTTTCAACTTAGGGTGCAAACGTTCACTACTTATCCCATTCAAGTTCACTACACTGAGACATTATTCCTATGCTTGAATACCTACGGCTGCTTTTTAGCTCAGGTACAACGTTGGTCGTCCTCATTCTATCCAACAATGAAAACTGTCATCATCAATAGTTTTAACTTTTCCGTCCGTCTGTCCGTCCGTCCACTGGCCAGTGTCAGAGCAGGGCACAGACACACCACATCCACACACATGAGATGACACTTAGTCTGTGTACAGAGGCTCCCACACACACACACATAGAGGAGACTCAGACCCCCAGTTGACGATGAATCACAAACCCACTTTTATGAGGTAAATGAATGTGTGACCAGTGCCAGGATGGTCTCTGGTTTTGCTGGTTTGATCTAGCCGCCCTTTCTGGGGGTCACTAGGGGTTAGGGTTAGGGTCTCTGCATGCCTGCTCCACTGCTGACTGCCTGTCTCTCACCCCCATCTCTCCCGTGAGAGTGAGGCTTCCCTTCCGTCGCAGTAAACCTGACCAGGTCCCCTTTTGGCTGTCCTGTAAAGCGATGCCGCCCATTTCACCTGCTGCTTATGCCAAAAATGCTATTTTCATTCCTCAGAACCAGTTTTGTTAAACCCAGTTTCAGACACAGTCCCCTTCCTCCCTGCCATCACCGTGCCACAAATTACTGGGTCACAGGGTCACATGTCCCTGCACCTCACCCGCTCCTGACAGACACATCCAGCAGTGCATTCTGGGTAAGCTGCCGTTGAAAACAATAGCGTGAACAGGTAGCAGCCAATCAAACCAAAAGAAGGACAGGAGTCTACAGAGCAGAATTTAGAATCATCTGGAAGCATCTGGAATCTGGAGCACAAGTGAAATCCACTGCAGCAGTCAGGCTCCTCAGTGTCAATTTCAAGTTTTATTTGCCACATATACAAATATACTCTGTACACATGTGTAGTGAAAGGCTAATGGGCAATGCGGTGAGGGCAGCGTACTCACCACTGCCTCACGAAGGGCAGAGGGACCCATGGGCAATGCGGTGAGGGCAGCGTACTCACGACTGCCTCACGAAGGGCAGAGGGACCCATGGGCAATGCGGTGAGGGCAGCGTACTCACGACTGCCTCACGAAGGGCAGAGGGACCCA